GGAGCGGGGACGTAGGTCAGCGGACCGAACCTTGTTAACACATCGTGCGTCACAGGATAACGATTCCTAACCCTATCTCCTCTATTTTGATTGCATTTGCATATTATGTTTTGCTTGTCTTATTTTTATTGCATAATTATAGCCTCTTGACCCTAATCACCCCCCTCTAGGGTCCAACACTTCATACCTGCTATTTTATAAGCTTCAGCTTTAAAGTTTTTATCAACCTTCATTCTAAAATCCGTGAGCTCTGCAAAACACAGTATAAGCTCCACGTCATGCTCGGGGAGCAACCACATCTTGGAAACCCCTTTTGAATCGAGGCTAGCAGATCATCGTGTTGCAGGCACTTTCCTCTTGTGAGCCTATTTTTTATCTTTTATTTTTGAAGGGTGATACCTCCTAACCCACATCAATGATATTGTTTTGAGGTCCACCAGATTCACTAGCGATTGGTGGCATTTGTTGTGGATCGCTGCTTTGATAACTCAAAGAGGGAACATACAAGCCTTGGGTACTATTCAACATGTTAGTGTGCCAGACTTGGGTACTATTCAACATGTTAGTGTATGGCACATGTTGTTGGCCCATTCTACTATAGTTCTATTAAAATGGTGGGAATTGTGGGAAAGAAGTTGACATTGTATGTGGCAGATTGAACGTTTATGTGGATATTACATAAAATTCACATTAATACCGCCTGAATCGTTTGACGGGGCATGTGGTGAAGAGGGCAGATTTTGTTTTCCTCCCTCTTTATGAGACGTACCTATGTGCAATTAAAAAAACAACCATAAATTCAAAATTGCATAGTTGCAAGGGATGAAAGATTACATTATCTGTACAAGCACAATTATGAAATAGTGAAATACATAACTAAACATGTACAACAATCTAAGATAGTCAATTCAGAATTATATAGTTGCAAGTACGAGATGAAAAATTACATTGTCCATTCAAGCACAATTATGAAATACTAAAATATATAATGAAATATGCAAAAATAATAAAACTACAAGCCAATTTATGTGGTGTCACCATCTTTATATTTTGCACAATAATCAACCCACATTACCTGCGCAATTTGGTCTCTAAGATCCTTCCATTTCATTTCTTGCATCATGATCCTCTCTTTGTGTCCTAGATTGAGTGAAGTCAACTACGCTTGTATCATCTTCATTTGTCACCTCCTCATTCTCCTCACCAATTACTACATTCTCATTCAAAATATCATATTGTGGATATTCAATTGCAATAAAATTATGCAAATATAGTACATACTAAGACGATGTCCACTTGTGTGGGAATGGATAATTAGGCTTCGCTGAAATAATTTTGAACCGATTCTTCAATGTACCAAAGGTTGATTCAATTTTAAACTATAAAGAAGAGTGTCCTAAATTGAATAACTCCCTACTATTTCTGGGTATCCTACAAAATTGTTCCTTTCAATGATAACGTATACTATGGTATGGAGAGATGAAGCCGGACATGGCAGTGTATCTAGCGTCACAAAGATAATATTTGCCTACATTATAAAAAGAAAATTCGTGATCAATTTGATGATATTATTTAGTTGACTATTTATTAAATGAGGTGGAAGAATACTATCATATACTCTTAATCTGTAAGGTTGTGGTCTAGACAACGTGTCTTGTAAAATTCTATAATCCTTTGCCGCACCTTCCTACCCAGCTAGGACATATGTGAAAAGTTTATTTAGAGTGCATGCAACTAAAACATTTTGTGTTACACCTTTACGCCCTCTAAAGCGTGCAACTAGGTTAGAGGTAACATTGCGTCAATGTGTGTTCTATGTATTAATGCAATCCTATCAAAACTCGACAATAATTCAAAATATTACTTTCCCATATTATTAAATTATGCAAATCACTAACTCAAATAATTTATTTCTCTCCTACCTTGAAGTAACGGAAATAGTTTGGACTATTGACAATCTCTGATGGAATCTCATTAGGTGCTTGCTTCATGTATCGATCACGAAGACCATTCATAGCCTATAGGATTTTATTAAAGTACATACTAACAGTTTCACACGATCTTTTGAATTCGGTTCTTATTACTCTATTTTTGGTTTTGTAACCCACTATGCAAAGAAACATAGCGAGTTGTTCTTCAACTTGAAGGTGTCTTGTGTCCTTTAAAACACCATTATTTCACATTATATCCGCAAGTTTGAAAAAAGCTGTAAGCATCATTCTAATATAAGATCTACAACTATCACTATATCCTTAAAAGACACGCTTAAAGTAGGCATTTCTATAAAAAAAATCCTCGTCTTATCCTTTCTTGGAGCATTGCAAATTGATTTACGCCTAGCACGCATTCTCTATAAACAAGCTATTATTGTAACCACAAAAGATATAGTCGTATTAGCATACACCCTCTTTATTTGTTCTTCATCTACACCATCCATCTACATTAATTACAAAGAAAACAAAGTTTAAAACGTTTATGTGTAGGTTGTCTAGAAATCACTGCAGATAGCTGATCTCCCATCAAATATCGATAATGGAAATTACAATTTAACGGTTTTCAGAAGGCTATAATTTGAAGACTTTCATGTAGATCGATGAATGTTACAATCTGACGACCTTCGCAACAACTGATGAAAGCTCTAATCAACCGCCTTCACAATCAATATCGGGAGTTACAATCTGACGACTCTCATATTTTTAAGGAGCCAAGAAGAAGATTATAAGATTGTGATCTTTGCAACGCTCTAGCAAAAGATACCACAAATTGATGGTCTCTTCACATCAAAACGCAGAGGTCAGACCTGTATTTCAACATCAAAATGCAGAGGTCCTCCCTGCATTGCAACATCAAAACGTAGAGGTCCTCACTGCGTTGCAACATCAAAACACAGACTTCATTACTGCATTTTCAGCCCAAAACGCAGAACCCAACTCCGCGTTCTAAATCCAAACGCAGAGTTCATTCCTGCGTCTCAACTCAAAATGCAGAGCGACCTGTGCGTTCTCCGCCGCCAAAACATGCCCAACTCTGTGTTTCAGTTCTAAAACGTAGAGTTCGGGCCCAGAATACCATTTTTGGCATTTGACTCATTCAAACACGAGCTGAACGGTTCCAAAACCGTTTCTCACGATTTGAGGGGATTACAACCCCACTTAGGATCGAATTAAGGGGGCGGTTGAACTCCTTAATCCCTTATAAACACTTCAAAACTCAGAAGAGTTCGAGATGATCTTTTTTGGGGCAGATCAAGATTAGAGACCATTGAGCGGCTTCTGGCATAAAATCGCAAAGGGGAAGATCAGCGTTCATTCTGCAGCGATGTTCAACAACATGGAGCTTTTATCCTTGTCTATTAACCGATTTTCGGTTCAAATCAACTCTTTTTTAAGAGTTTAAACTCGCTCTGAGTTATCAACTCATTCGGAGTTTCAAACTTGCCATGCAAGTTATCCTTGACATCAATCAAGAGGATTCAACCGTGTTCCACGAGTTCAAGACGTTCAACGAGAAGCAAACTCAACGCGAACATTCGAGGGAGGCATCTCATCGCCACCGCGAAGAACCTAGACTTAAACAAAGGGGAGGATCTCCGCCGATCCTCTTCTCTTTTATAATCAGAAATTCAAATTGTAATTGAGGTTGAGAGAGTTGTAAACATTCTTTTTCTAAGCAGTTAGAAAGAATAAATCAAATTCAATTCTTTCATTTTCTTATTACAAATTTTCCACCAAACATTATGCAACAATGAAGAATGACGCTAAATGAAAATGGCTCTTTTTGATATATGTAAGCAGTATTAATAAATGATTTTGTACAACATAGACATGCATAGGAGTGAATTCACGATGGCGATGTGTGCATATGATCGATTTAAACCACTTAATTATAGAATCGTTGTAATAAAAATAGAAAGAATTAGCTTCTAGGTGTTAGGCTAGTATAAACTTAACTTTTTGTTAAGATTGAAAACAATTTTTTTCAACAAATACAAGAATCCAACAAAGGCTACATACTATAAGTATGGATAGATATATGGTGGAGTTATCAAACAATGAAAAATATCAAGCCATAATTTTCTCATCCAACAATTAATAGACTCATTTTGTCACCATTGGGTTAACATCAAGCCATAATTTTCTTCATTGTATTAACTGGTCATTTGATTGATGAAATCAACCGCTAATCAAACCACAATAGTAGTAAAATCAACCACTAATCAAGATCGGGAAATCAACCACAATAGCTCAGAAAATCAAAACATAAAAAGATAGTGGAAAAATCAACTGCAATAGCTTGGAAAATCAACAAGGTTTAGGGGTTTATTTTTATACCTCAATAGCTTGGAAGATCAACCGCGGAAACACCAATTTGGACTAAAATCCCAAACCAACTGCTAAACCAACCCACACCGCAAGAACACCAACAAACTTTGAGCTCGCTGGCGAATGGCGTCAATAGGTGAGGACGAGAGCTGGATGTGAGGAAAATGCGCTAAAAATAGAGGAGGGATATGGGGTTTGGGGGCGGGAATGAGAGCGTAAACCCTAGAAAATTTCTGTGATTTTGCGGCCACGAGAAATGTGAACTGGGGCGGAAATTGGGTGTGTGCATGGTTTTATTAGTTTAATAATAGGGTTGTCAGTTTTCTAGGTGATTTCATCGCATTTTGAGTGAAAATTGATTTTTATAAAATGTTGTATTTTTCTTTACTTTATAGAAAACTTTCTATAAATTTTTTTAAACCAAACACAACTTAGAAATCTATAGAAAAATTGTATTTACAAAACTACCATTGCCATTACTTTTCTATAAAGTTTTCTGAACAAAACACCCCCTAATAATATAAAAAAACCTATTGAAAAATTGAGCGTAAGATTAACGCCATGGTTGCGCGTCACGTGCGCTTGGGAATTAGCTTAGTGTGTCTACTAACTCATTTAACAAAATTGTCTATAAATAAACCCCTTCCTCTCTCTTATTTGCAGTCTCTTTAATTAATTAATTAACTAATCAAACCTCCCAGATTGCTTTAGTTGGGAAAAACCCTAGAAAAGGAAGAGAGAGCTCTTGAGCTCGTCGATCTCCCCGCGGCCGTTGAAGTTAGGGTTCCGGCGATGGAAGACGAGGACATCGAGAAGACGGTTCTCGCTTACCTGAAGAAGAAGGGTTTCAAACAGACCGAGCTCGCTCTTCAGGAAGAACAGAACCGGATCTCTTCTTCTTCATTGGCGGATCCATCGAGGTCAGTTGCCCTAGATTTGCCCTAATTTCTTTCTACTTTCGTGAAATCGAATAAGATTAGGCGAAAAGTTGTTGTTTTTATGGATTTGCATTGAAATATCTTGTTTGGTTCTTCTGCCCTAAAATTTCTTTTGATAAGTGAAAATAATAGTAAAAGTGGAAATTTTGATGTTGTGCATTGTTAGTTTGTTAATCTTATTCACATTTTATTTTCGTCAGTTCAGTTGTTCTAGTAACAAACAATTTTAATCAGTTGACTAGCAAAAAAAAAAAAAAAAAAAACTGGCCTACATTTAACAAATTTAATACTTATATTGACCAGTTGCCCTAAAATGGCCCTAATATCTTACCTCATCGCGTCTTAGAATGATTCCAGTGGATAAATTGTTGTTTTGGTGGAAGTGCATTGAAATGTCTTATTTGGTTCTTCTGTCCTAATTTCTCTATCTTGGTAATTAGGAATTGCGGGAAAAGGGGAAATTTTGATGTATTTGCATTATTGTTCTTAGTCACATATTAATTTTCTCTGTTCATTTGCCCTTCTAACAAACAATTTTAATCAATTGAGTTGTAAAAAAACTACCATGAGCAAGAAACTGATCTACTAGACAGTCTGATCCTTTTCTATTCTCAATATCTTGAAGCATGCATAAAATCTTTCCTTTTTGCTCTAATTTCGCTAGTATTTCTTCCATCCCTGTTAGGAATGCAAATCATTGTACAAAAGAACCTAAAAGTTTGATCTTTCTTGTAGGGCAATCGGTAGATAACACTATCACAATTAGCAAAGTGTACATTGCCAAATATTCAATTTATGTCCTATATTGGAATGCACATGATGCTATTCTAGTTAAAAAATTATGTTTCTTAAGTGAAAATGAATTGAGACTCTACTTCTTAAGAGAACTGTTTTTCTTCTTCTTCAAGTGGAGATGGTGACAAGTTTGGTCACTACATGTTCTTTATTATATTTTCCCAAGTATCTCTTTCCGCAATTTTACCTTTTCGTATTGCAGTGTGAATTTTGAATGACCATATACATTTTTTACGGAGTACATTCAGCAAGATTGAACCTTTTTATGTTTTTGTTCTCTTTACATATTGACAAGTTAATTGCTTTCAGATCAAAGAATGGTGCTGCCAGATATCATGATGGTTACAACAAGCTAAGGTCATGGGCATATGGTTCGTTGGATTTGTATAAGGTAGCTATTTTCTGTTTCTTTGGCTCATTGTAGTTATGATATATTGTCGTAGTGTACAATTTAATTCTGATAATGATTACCTCTCTTCTCGCTTCTTGGGTTATTTTATTTATACTACCTGATGGATATGACTTTGATATTAAACTTGCTACTATCTTTCATTTTGCACAGCATGAACTGCTTCGTGTGCTTTATCCAGTTTTTATACACTGTTTCATGGATCTTGTGGCAGAAGGGCACATGCAGGAAGGTAAACTTCTGCATTTATTCTGGCTTGATTTGATTCTGAATCTATTGGTTGACTTTGAACAATGTTAACTTGATCATATGCATTTATGTTATATGCTCATACAGCTCGGACTTTTTTCAACACATTCCGCGAAGACCATGAACTAATGCATCTGAGAGATCTCCAGAAATTGGAAGGCATCCTTTCTCCCTCACATCTGGAGGTGATAATTGAATACGCCTTTTGGTACATTGTGGTCTAGTTGTTGATAAAAGCAGATACATTAAACAAAACTAATTAAATTATGATCTACAGGAAATGGAATTAGCTCGTACTTTGAGGCAGAGCAAAGTTAACATAAAGTTATGTGAGGTATGCTTTTTCCAATTTTTAACTTGTTTTGAATCTATATCTTGCTAAACAATATACTTCAGTGCTTAGTGATGGTATTTCATTGCAATTACATCATACTAGGAAGAAAAATTATTTTCCTACTTGCATAGCATGTACGTCACCTGGGACCTCCTGTATTAAACTTTCTTTGTGTGTGTATTGACATCCCATGTGTTATAGACACTCATACACCTACTTGCATGGCTCCTTCTGTACATAAAAAATCATTAAAGGAATAAAGAAGAACCGTCACTCAGGTCGATCAGAAACTTGCAATTTGTTAACCAAATTTCTACTAATAGATCAGAATTGTAGTCAATTATATCATAAAATTAGATCTTTTGTTTCTCTACAAAGCTGATTCTTTAAAGTAAATTCTCCGAAACTCCTTGCATATAAAATTCATAAATTATTTCCTATTTTGCAAGAAATAGTAAAGAGTACAGTGAAAAACAGTCAACAAAAGTACACACGGACCGTCAAGAAAGTATTCTCAACGATTTGCTTAAAAAAATAAATCATTATGCTTAAAAATATCACAAATTGGTTTTGTACCACTACAAAATTCCAAAAGCTGAGAGCGCAATATGCATAAATAGGCCTTTCAAGCACACTTTGGTTAGATTTACTAAGACCCCCCTTTCGCTCTCTTCTCTCTTCTGTTGACCCTTTGAGTACTTTGTGATTTGGACAAGTGTATCTTATTTGAGTACTTTGTGATGTGGACACGTGTATCTTTATTTCTTCACTGATGATAACATGCAAATTTAGGTTTTGAACTCAAGCAAATGGATAACTTTGATCTTACTTTTAGCTTAATAGTGGCTGAAAGTTGTGAAAAGAAATTGAATGCGAATGTTTGAGTATAATAGTTTACTTTGAAGAAAGACTTAGGGTTTTGAAGCACAAGTCATGGAGTAGATTGAAATCTCACACAATTAAATTAGAATGTAGCATGGAAGAGAAGGAGAATTTAGGAATGACTGTATAAAGATTTTTTAATTTAATTGTTTGTGTTGCTATAGGATTAACTTAGCATTGTCGATGACAAATGCCCTTTGCACAAAGAAAGAAAAAAAAGAAAAAAGAAAATGGAGATCACTTCTTATATGATACCCATACATATATAGAGGTTTAGATATAGACCAATCAGAAACAAGTTTTCTTTTACTTTTTTTACTGTTTCTTAGGATCCATAAATACTTCTTTATTTTCTTACACACGGTACTTAAAGTTTTTTTATTTATTGTAGTAGAAGTTACAAGTTGTATTTGTTCATAATCCAAACGTCCTCAGCATTAACAAAATATGGTGGTCATATTAGTTTCCCTCATTCTATTTGGACCATTCCTGACTTTCAATTAACACTTCCGTTGTTAAAAAGCAAAGTTCAGCCAAATCAATGATGTAGTTGAGTATAAGTTTGGGGGTTGAGTGTTGCCCAGCTTTATCTTGAAGTCTTTTATATATGGATGAGATGAATAACAATTCTGTTTATTTTTAAGGACATTTGCAGTATGTATACCACCTCCATTTTTTCTCCTGATTTGACTTCTATTGCTGGCTATGTATTTAGTTCCTTGAATTGATAGATACTGTGACATTTTCAGTATTAGAGACCTGAATTCCTTGCACCTGATTAAAGTGATCACTATGGTGTTATTGTTTCTTTTTTCCACAAAGACTACATTTAAATGTAAATGCATATATTATGCTGCAGCATTAGAACTTTCCTTTGAGCAACATCAGCTAGCAAAATGTAACCAACTATTTCAATGATGTAGTTGAGTATAAGTTTGGGGGTTGAGTGTTGCCCAGCTTTATCTTGAAGTCTTTTATATATAGATGAGATGAATAACAATTCTGTTTATTTTTAAGGACATTTGCAGTATGTATACCACCTCCATTTTTTCTCCTGATTTGACTTCTATTGCTTGTAGCTATGTATTTAGTTCCTTGAATTGATAGATAGTGTGACATTTTCAGTATTAGAGACCTGAATTCCTTGCACCTGATTAAAGTGATCACTATGGTGTTATTGTTTCTTTTTTCCACAAAGACTGTCCATTATCAAAAAGCAACATTTAAATGTAAATGCATATATTATGCTGCAGCATTAGAACTGTCCTTTGAGCAACATCAGCTAGCAAAATCTAACCAACTATTTCTTTGAACTCAGTACTCGTACAATCTTCTTCTGCAATATCTTCAAAAGACTCAGGCGCTTACGATGCTTGGAATAATCAATGAGCATATCAATTTTGAAGGTATGATTATTCCGTTGTTGATTGGCAACAAAATGTGAATTATGATTATATTGCTATTCAACAGAAGCCTTTAGTTTTTTTCACTGTGTGAACTCCTTAACTACTTGCAGTCTCTCATTCCAGCATGGGTTTCTGATTGTGCAGTTTCCTCTGGGCAGCCTATATCCATAACTGATGATGCAGATGTTGTAGCTTTAGTTGGAAGTAGCCAGGATATAGCTAAGCAAATAAACCAGAAGGAAGTACGGTGGGGGGTAAGTTCAACTGTTATACTAAGTATTAACCCATCTTTTCCTGTTCTGTACAAGGCATGAAACATAAGTTAGCACTATCTTCTGGTCTAGAATTCATCAGCTGTTTTGGTTTACATTATCTGTTAGCAGTAATTTTCTTTTCTTTTCTCTGCATGACAGGTATTTGAAATGTTAGAGCCAACCCGAGTTTTTAGTCGAAAAGTTTTATACATGTTTTCTGTATTTTCAAGTTGATGAGCATCTTGAATTTGATGAACATATTAGTATGGCAATTAGAAAGTTGCCAATGGCTTCGGTATTAGGATGTAAAGTATCAGCTCTATTTCATTGCCTATTTGAAGTGGCCCTGAATAATGTATGATGGTAGAAATATAACTCTAGTTGATAGTTTTTATATGAGGTGATCTCTAGGGCAGAGTTGTAGGCATTAGTTGCAACAAAAGAGAAGTGATGTCATTTTCCTTGTGCTGTATAATGCATCTACCACATTGGCCATCTTTGATTATTTGATCAGGCTAATCATTTGAATAAACTGGTATATACAAGAAGCAGACTGACAAATAGTATTTGTTTTTGGTGGAAAATGTGCTTCCCTTACTGAAAATGTATTTGGTTTTCAATTTTTTCCCTTGTCAAGTATTGCAATAATGTATTTTCTGCACTAGTTTTACTTTCTTTGCTGTATTCCCGCTTTTTTATTTACAGTGTATCCTCTTTATTGTAGTTGCTTGAAGATTCTGTTGAAGAACGTCTGGAGAGAGCATTCTCAGATTCTGAAAAGGCTGAGGGGGAAAACAAAGATGTAGATCCAGAAGATAACAAGGTGAGTTGATTAGGTAAAGTTGTTGCCTTGTAATTATACTAATGTTCACAGGCACTTATAAATTCACAAATACATGAATTAGATTTTATATGCTGGGTTCTGCTTGGTTAACTGGGCCCTTGGCATGCAATATTGTCATACAATGGTGTACTATTTCACTAGCAACAAGATAATTTCTTCTATTGGTGAAATCAAGGAGGATGTTTTCATAGATTAAAAGGATGATGACAGAAATGGAGTGCATCTAGCATATACTGTCAGGGACAATGGGCCGCCAATGACGTTGAAAGGAAAATTTTACAATGCACTTAGGTGATGTTTTATGGGCCATACCATTCGGAGGATGATGAAAAACATCTACGAGGCAAGTTAAATTGAACATGTTGGGATGGATGAGGGAAAACATAGTAAACATATGATCAAATGAGTGCATCGTTGAGAAGTTAGACCAGCCTCAACTACAGAAAGTTAGTGATAATCTTTTCTTTTGAGACAGTTTTGTGCAACATGAATGCATTACTTAATTGTTTGGAATCTTGGATGGTAGTTGTAGTAAAAGGATCGGGAGCAGACCTCAATGAGAATGGATTTTGGGACCAAAGAAGGGTGTAAAAGCTATCAATTTGATGGAGGAGATGATTTTAACAGAGAAAAGGGATTGTAGCCGACCTGAAATACCTGGGCAAAGGCGCTGTTGGTAGAAGATATCAAAGTTACCCGGCAATTTATTAAGGTATAAGATAGTAATGTGAGTTTAGCATATTATAGTGGGATCAACTAATACTGAGGTTTTGATCTTTATCCTGTATATGCTAATCATCTTCATGCAAAGCTAAGATCATTAGCCGTTTTAAGAACTCACTCTGTAAAAGGAAAAGAATGGTTGAGATATGCTATATTTCGTGTCATTCTGTGTCACTGAAAGACAAGAAACACTGACTGTATTATTGGTATTTTTATTTTTGTGATTACATGTGACAGAATAGCTGTGCTAGACATGTGCTTGATTAGTTTTTTATTGCTGTTGTATCATAGTATTTCTCTACTAGAACTTTCCTAACTGAATTTTAAACTTACTATTCTCAGAAGAGATCTGCAGATGGAGGGAAACAAAGTGCTCCTCCAAAAAAGTTGAAGAAGGACAAGCTTGTTGGCGCTATGGGTAAAAATGTCCGCTCAGAGACAACTACAATATCGACGGCACCACGAGTGAAACCAGAACTTACTTTGCCCGTAATGTATTAACTATATATTTCTTCTTTATTTTTTCTGTTCTTTATACTTTCTTATATATAAGCACACACATCTTAATACAGTTGTAATCTGAGAACTGCTTCTCGCATTGATTGGTTGCCTGAAATATTTAGTTAGACTTCACAGTCAAATAGTCAGCGTATCTCTGTTGTACTTGTTGCCAACTCGAGAAATTCAGGATAAAGGCTTTTGTTTCTGTACTCACAGTGTACATACTAGATTAAACAACAATTTTTTTTTTTCTGTTTTCTGCAACCATTCTTCTGTTTTTTCTGAGTTCTTTCATATTGTCAAATTCTTATAATAGACTTCGGTGTGGAAAAGATTTGTACAATTAACCAACTGTAGTTGTTATTATCCTAGATTCATAATAATGCGTGCAATGTTTATTCAAGTTTAAGATGTACTCGCATCACTTGAATTTTCATTGTTGATTTGAACTTCATAATGGACTCTTGTCTAATGCAGAAAATCTTTTATACTTGTTGCGTTTGCTTGTGATTTTGCTACGGGACATTATTGCCAGTTGTTTGATGAGCTGTAAAGTCATATAGCTTGTTTATTGATTCATCTGATATGAATATGAATGTATATCGTGAATTTATAATTTCAGATCCAGTGAAGTAGAGCAATCTATTCTTGAGGACCTGAGGAATCGCGTACAATTGAGTAGCTTGGCATTGCCATCTGTCAGCTTCTATACCTTCATTAACACACATAACGGGTAATAATGTCCAATTTTTAGATATTAAGTCTAGACCTGTGATTCTTCTTCTTTACTACTTTTGACTACTTATTTGACTTCTCTGAGTGTTAACCAGATTAAATTGTTCGTCTATATCTCATGATGGGTCACTGGTTGCTGGTGGATTTTCTGACTCATCCCTAAAGGTAAGTTTTTCTTGTTAGATATTGGAACTTGGTACTAGCTTTAACTATTTCGTTTGGTTTGTTAGTTATTATACTATTCTTTTGCAGGTCTGGGATATGTCCAAGATTGGCCAGACAACTAAAACATGTTAGTATTACTAGTACTTACTAGATCTACTGTTGGAAGCTATTTGCTAGCATTTTTATATTACACGGAGGAGGGACAATGATATTTTTTAATTTTCTACCATGGCAGAACAAGGGAGGTTCGAACATGAAAGTCTAAAGGTTGTCCTTAATCTGGCACGTCTAGTAGCTCAGTTGAATATTGTATTGGTCCCTTTTCCCCCTTAGGTTTTGTCTTAAGCGTGGAACACTGGGATGACCTTTGTTTAATCTATGAGGGAGTATGATATTTGTCTTGTTAGGCCAAGGGAAGTTTGAACGTGAAACTCTGAAGGCTGTCCTGAACCTAACATGTCTAGCAGCTCAGTTGAATATTGTATCAGTCACTTTTTTTCCCTCTTAGGTTCAGTGTTTTCAAATGCGCGCGCCTCATTGCGCCTCATGCGCCTTACGATGCGGGGCGGTGGCGATGCGCCCCACATCTGATGCAGCAGCGCCTTTTGCGCCTTGCGTACATCCGTACTTTGTGTAGGATGCATGTAGTGCATTTCCTCATATAGTTTTTTTTGTTAACATTTCAATCGAGTCTTTATACTTGATATTCCATATCCCAAAAAACAAAATAAATCCATTGGGCTTTTTTAATAACCTTCAATTGAGGACCATTACTAATCCTTAGTTTGGATATAAGTCTTGATTTAACATTTGATTTGAAAATTTATGAAATTTACTACTATGTTGGGTGTTAGCATTAGAAATTAAGGCAATATATTGTGATTTTGTAGCAAGATATTATTTATCATGATATTTTTTATGTAAATTCTAAAAATATGTTCTTTCGCGCTTGATTACATATATTGAAATATTATGTGTGGTGTGCGCCTCGCATCACTCGGGTGCGCGCATCGCGTTACGCCTTGCGCATGTGCGCGTAAAGATGCTTTGCGCCTCGCATTGCGCCTCGCGCATTGAAAACACTGCTTAGGTTTTGTTCGAAGCGTGGGATACTTGTAGTAGGTGATGAGTTTCATTTAATCGACGACGCATTCTGAAACTCTGAGACAATTACAAAAGGACTAGGTTATGTCTCCCATTAGGTCTAAGTGTCTAACATGCATATATCCATCCATTCGAACTAGAAATGAGGAAAAACGTACCTGATCTTTTGTTGTTGTGATGCTGCTCTTCTGCTATTTGTTAGAATTGCCTGATATATGATTTTGGCCCAACTCAATAACATAAGCTTTTGGTGAAGTGGTTACTGATAATGTCCTGAAGTACAATATTTCAAAAGATCCTAGTTTGAAACTCCCATTGCAACTTTAGTATGCTTATTACCCCAGTTATTCTGCCTTTCCCACTGGATCATCTTTTTTTGTGGAGGCCTTTCCATGTAGCCTGAAGGTTCACATGAGAGGATGTTAAATGTCAAGTTTTCCTCAAGTTTTCCTGATATACATCGATGGTGTACAGCCCACTAGCTTAACTACTTTGATACATTTACCTTGTTTGTTCTATCATTCAGATCAACTTAAGCCCAATAATGTTCTTTTGCTCCTTTTGTGTGTTCTTGTTTCTTGTAATGTTGTTTGTCGTCCATGTACAACTTCATCCTAGTTTGCACTTTCGATTTTATTTCTGAATTTATATGCAGTATCCACCTTTCTAGTTTTCGCTGGGCTATTTTGACTTAATAGTTTTGTGTAATATTGAACAGAAAAATTTCAGCTAATTTGCAGGGAGAAAATGAATCTGCTCCAAGTGAACATGTGCTTGGATCAGATGAGGGGAGAGGATCTTACACATTGTTCCGAGGCCATGCTGGACCTATTTACTCCGCTACGTTTAGTCCTTTTGGAGATTTTCTTTTGTCATCATCCTCTGACTCAACAAGTAAGCTTGATTTCCTCTCCTTTCGTATTGACTTAATCCCTAAGCTTGTATAAGTTATATGCTGTTATATTTTTGCTGCAGTTCGATTATGGAGCACCAAGCTGAATGCAAATCTAGTCAGCTACAAAGGTCACAATTATCCAGTGTGGGATGTCCAAGTAAGTATATAACTGGGGACTTTACTCTTTGGAATTAACTTGTGGAGGAAGTAAAGGATGAAAATTGCAATACTTTCTATCAGTTCTGGTATCAAACATAATTGACCACGAATTTTTGCAAGTAATAGTTGATAGATGTTTTGGTAAAGCATTCTTTGTTCTTACGTTTTATATGGTTTGAGCAATTATACAACGATAGATGTGTTGTTGTAAAACTTACTGGCTAGCAACGATGTTAATGGGTAACTTTGACAAAAAAATGGAGAGGGAATCATTTAGATTTCTTTAATTGTAGATGAACTAGTCTTTTGCCCATGCAAAGCACAGGTCGACCTTCCTCTCTATTAGTGTAGTTCACTCCCCTACACCCCACTGTTAATGTACCTACCCCCATTATTCAACAAAAAAGGTATCTTACAAAACGAATCCAACTTGCATTGTCAAATTACTAATTCTCATTACATTCACAGTACACTTATACATTGTCAAGTCCCCAGAAATACAATTCTTTGTTCTAAAACAACGAATAAAACAAAGAAAAAACAACATATATATATCACCATGGTAAGTCCTTACAAATAAGAGAACTGAGAATACTTCTTTGTTTCTCTTGACCTCCTCGTTGTACTCTGAATGTGAAAATTATTGTCTTTAAGTCCTAGAGTTTAAAAATGTTAGGAATGGAAAATATTTAGAAAATTAAACACAATATAATATAAATGGAATTTGAGATAAATTGCACTTCAATACGTAAATTTCACAGATTTTTAACTTTGATATCTTGAAGATACAGGTCATGAACTCACAATGCCTTAAACATGGCTTGATCTCCTTCAAAGAGGGATAGTGATCTCAAAATAAAATTCAGATTGCATGTGCAGAACAGTAGACAATAAGCTCAGATGCATCAATATCTCAGTAAACTGGATCCACTACTTCAAACCACATAAAAAGTCAGACAATATAACATGTAAGTCATTCGTATATGAGTAGTAAATAAGCACAAATGACCTTAAATTAGTTACTTATTTGATACATCGGCGAAGTATATTAAAAAACTTCTGAAAAAACAAAGTATGTGAGAAACAAAATAGGGAAAAGGTCTATATCACTTCAGTAATGAGCCATATTTTCTTACTTCAGTTATAACCGCACAATACATCCCTCGATAATATTGTCTAGCCATCTGTTCGCTGAAAAAGAACAAGAACTAAGTCAAATAGATTTATGTGGGAGGCATCATGATAAATGTAAGGGTGTCATTTAACAATATAGTGTGATGTTAAATAACACGGTTTTATTATTTACGCGGTCCATGAGCTTTTAATGATTACTCAGATCAAGCCTTGATTAAGCAGATTACACAGAATTATGCGTTCTTGTTTTTAATATATATTTAATAACTTATTATATGTTCAAATATATAAAATTCATGAAAATATCAAATATACTAAGAAAAAACTAATAAACATACAAGTTAACAATCAATAAATAGTTGATTGCTTAAAAGTTCAATCCATACATCAAAAGCAATCTAAAGCAGTTTTTAGGGATTTAGGTTAAATGTGAATGGATTACGGGTTTTGAATTGAGATACCAATTTATTAAAAAAAAAACGCCCGTATAATCTAATTATGTGGGTGCATAATGAAAAAGTGCCCGATTATGCGGGTGACCGCATAATATGACGCTTTTTTCGTTTTCTTGCGTGGTATGCTTGCTTTCACGTATGATTAAGTAGCTTTGTAATCCTTTTTTTAGATTGTTGATATAGTGATTTTACCTTTCAACGAGCACATGTAGCAAGTCATTAACTATTGTCAAGGAATACCGATATAATATAAATTGCTTTACACACACACACACACTCTCTCTCTCTCTCTCTCTTATAAATCTCTCCAATTATATTGTAGAAATATCAAAATTCAAACAACTTGAAACTAACAATTTTAGAAATATCTCACTTGGTATATAATTAAGGGCTCACTTTTCTTAAAGAGGTTTAAGAACTAAAGAAGTTTTTCCTTAATATTAAGCGAAGGAGCAAAAAGCGTCTCGTTTTATAACATAGTAAACTGATAATTTAGCCTAGTAGAGAGAGATTGTAGTATTTTGGTCTAACTTTCGCCTCATGAAAACACATAGTATTAATGTATTATAGTTATAATTAAAAACAGAGGGAGAGAATTTTTCATCCCGAGGAACTATCATGTTTTATATAAAATAAATAAATGAAGATGATAATATTACCTCACAATAGTAACTTTTCTAAGTATATATATAAATTAAACTCAACAAACCCCAGTCATAACAGCCAATTCTAAATTTCTCAGACTTAAAACAACTAAACAAAAAAGGAACCAAAATACAACAGTAGAGGAGGATTTTTTGAGAGCATATCCGCTAACAAGAAACTACAATAATATTACCATTCTTGAACTTTACTGACATGAGTGGCTCCTCCGATTCAATCCATCGATCATCATCTTCGACGTAATCAACTTCTCCACTCCCTAACCCAAAACAAACACAACCAATGAAAAACCAAAGACCAAATCTTCATAAAAAAAGCGAACAATACTCAAGGTCATAAGTTAAAATAAGTTAGCCTAAACAAACACATTATTATTGAGAATTGCAAAGAATTATGTGTGATATCATACACATGAATATATGTGAACTGTTATTTTTCTTTATAGCCATAAATTATTGTATTAATGTATTATTATGTATAAACACATTATTATTAAGAATTGTAAAGGATTATATGTGATATCATGCACATGAATAAATGTGAACTATTATTTCTATAAAGCCATCGACTGTTGTGCGAATGTATTATAAACGCATAAATTAAAAATTAAATAATGAACACATTTCCCTATTTAATTCCCTTGAAAAATCAAGAAAAAAGAACTATAAAATTTTCAATGTGAACTTGTGATTTCCAAGCAGTCTTTGTTTCCTGAATATATATATATATATATATATATATATATATATATATAATAATATTATATATATATATAGAGAGAGAGAGAGAGAGAGAGAGAGAGAGAGAGAGAGAGAGAGAGAGAAATGGAGAAACTTGGTACCAAATTGTTCAAGCACTGGTAGTGATGTGGCCTAATCTTGTCCCTACATCTACATTGGAGTTTGTGAATGGTGGTTGAGGCTCTATCTTCGAGGTGTGATGTAGGGGCAAGATTAGGTCACATCACTACCAAGTTGTTTTAAGCAACTTGGTACCAAGGTTCTCTATTTTCTCATATTATATAATAATATATATATATATATATATATATATATATATATATATATATATATATTATATTGGAAATGTTTTTCTAAGGTGACACCTTAGATTCTCACCTAAGGTATATATATATATATACCTTAGGAAAACATTTCCTATATATATATATATATATATATATATATATATATATATATATATATATATATGGGAAATCATTTTCGCTAAGTGACACTTTAGATTCCCACCTAAGGATGCGGTCTAAAATCACATCATTCCCTTTTTTTTTGCGATCCGCTCCGTTGAACTTGATCTACACGTTCTTAAACCCAAACACACCAATTATCGGGTGAACCCGTCGTGTTTTGACCCTTGATCCACTCACCGTAATTTTAACGGTTTCGAATGAATAGAACTTTTTGCACGGCTCAACGAAGGGTCAAAACACAACGGGTTCACCCCAAAATTGATGTGTTTAGGTTTAAGAACGTATAGATCAAGTTCAACGGAGCGGATCGTAAAAAAAAAGGGAATGATGTGATTTTAGACCGCGTCCTTAGGTGAGAATCTAAGGTGTCACATTAGGAAAATATTTTTCTCTCTCTCT